TGGAATTGCCCACTGTTTGCACCTGGAGAGCAGACCAGGCTGTCACACAGGTCACCCAGCCTACTAATTAAGTTGTAGTTTATTTCTATTTATATTACCCTATATAAGCAAGTGTAAAATTGAAGAAAATCTTGTGTCCTCTTGGCAAAGTATGCTCTTCTGGGGGGTGATAACTAAGTGGCAACTGTATGATGTGCCTACATGACAAACCCATATTTGTTTCCTGCCAGTTTAAATGTCACTACTTTTCCCCAAAGGGTATGGGGAATTAAAGTTTGGTAAGGAGCTAAGATCTCTGTTAGAGATCCTTAGCCATAACTGAACTCCCAGCAATCAAGTATTAAATTAGTTTAAGACTGCAGCGTAGTTTATATCCTTAAAACAGATACTCTGGGTAATACTCCTGTGTGGGAGAGAAAAAAAACAACAACTGGGTTCACACAATACATTTACACACCTTGGGAATTTTAACCATGCACTAATGGGACAAGGCTTTTAAAGGTCTAAAGAGAATTCGAAAGTCTGTCTTCCCAAAGACAGAGTCCCTGTCTCCTCACGTAGTGGCTTCCCCAATTTGTAAAGTGCCCACTCCCCACTGCCAGCGGGAGTGGCAAAGCTCCTCCCAGCTGACCCAAACGCTCCTTTGGCAATTTGCGGTGCCTGGGAAAGGTGGCCACCCACAAGCCCTTTGGCTAGAGTGGCAAGCCCTTCTGCTTCTTCTGGATTCAGACAACACAATAAGTCATGGTAAGCTTATGAAACACTAGTACAAGCCATGGCTAGCTGTGGTTGCTTGTAAACTACCCAGCGGGGAGACAACATGCTAAATCACTGTGGTTTACAAACTGCCATGGCTTAATGCATTATGTGAACCCAATCAGTATGTATGAACAGATAGAAGTCTTTCATGTAGAATGAGTATAGGATAAGAAAGTATTTAGAATAACCAAGCTTGCTGAATTTTGGGTTAGTAAAGGACAAATACAGTGAACATTCACACAAGGTTGGGGAGAGACAGTCAGGCTTTATCCAAACTTTATTTTCCCAGCACTAGACAGTTCAAAGCTGTGGTCATTCCTTTGCTCTGAACAATTTTCTATTAGAATAAATTCATGGAAGCCAGACTAACAAAACATCAGGGCAAATTTGAAATCAAGTGGCAGCTTATTTCTGCTAGGCATTTGTTTCAATCGAATTCCTTTTATTTATTAAAATAAAATAAAATCCCACAAGCACCTCTTCGTATCCCCGCCAGTAAAAAGATGATAATAATAATAATATTTCTGTCCTGTAGTTCATTTGACCCAAGATGGCTGTCTCGATTCTACCTAATCATGAGGTAGATGGCAATGAGCCATCAGAGCCACATGTTGCTGAGAAGAATTGTTTGAGTTGTGATAATGATCCTCAGCAGGGCATGCTGGACCAAAATGCTTTGCAGCTCTGGGATGCTTCTTCTTCACCATAATCACCAAGCTTCCAATCATAAAGCTGTTTCGGATCTGCCCATCACCCATGGTCACCATTATACCCAAAGATACTTCTGTTAGTGACCACCAAGCTTCCTGCCCCCCCCTTTTTTTTAATGTAAAAAGTGTAATGGCGGCAAAATGCAAAGTGAAGTTCTGAGAACTCTCAGCTCAGTCTTTATTCCTAAAATACATGTAAATTAGCACATATATTTTAATACAGATTAGTGTCCTTTGATTAGTGTCCTCTTGGTGATGCATGTCCTCGTTTTGGTACTGAGTTAAGTGGCTGTACCACCTCTAAAGCCTATGAGGGTTTGGAAGCAAATATTTTTATCTGTCCAAGAAGTCTGCTCCACTGCTAAGACTGTTCTCCAGTTCCCTCTGACTATTGGATGAATGGAAGGTAGAAGCATAGCCTTTTTGAGACTGGCACCCAAAATCTGGAATAGGCTTCTGAGAGAGATATTTGACTCCTTGGTGTCTCACTCAGAGACCAAGCAGTGCTAATGACTTTATTTCAGCAGGCCTTGTAAAGTTATTATGTTTCTGAAGGTTTTATGACATCTGCTTTTAGTCTAGTTGTAAACTGCTGTGCATCATTTGAACTGTTATTCTATACGTGTTGATTGCTGTTTTATTGTTAGTTAAGCCACCAACTGTATTTTTAAAAATAAAGAAATACAGGAAGAATGTTAGAAATCAAAAGCTTGAGCGGGTTCAACTGTAGGCGATAACGTCAAATGCCCATGAGGACAAGGACTTTTTTTAAATGGCAGATGGAATATAAATCAAATGTTTTATGCATTTCCTCAAATAAAGTTTCTTCCTAAAGCTTTGCCATGAAAATGTTCCAAATAAATTCTAAGTTGGCCAGGTCCAAATATCTGTGGTTGCTCCAGCATGCTCGTATTTCAGATACAAATGATTAAACCTTGCCCAGGAGTTTCCACATGCCAATGCTTTTAAAATGAAATCTTCAAGTACTCCACTGTGCTGTAAAAGGTGCAATTTCAGAGCATACTTGAAACTAAATCTTGTCCTATAGCCATTTGCCCTGCTTCCACCTCTCCCACTCCTAGAGGGAAAGACACACATCTCAGCACATGCCAAAGCAATATGCCACAGACAAAAGATACAAATCCAACTGAGATGGCTTGCTGAGTGATGTCAGAAGCTGCAGCTTGGCAGTGATGACAAGGTGGGAGGAAGCAGCTTGACCATTTTTTAATTCAGAAACAAGGATGCAATGCTGCAGCTTACCTGTGTATTGTTGACCACCTCAAAAATGTTTCAGAGCTAGGCCTCTGAAGGAAAATCTGGATAGCTGGAAGAGGCAGTTATAACGGCTTGGGACCAGGATACCTGAAGGAACATCTTCTTCCTTATACGCCCTCCCCGCCCTTAAGATCTGAGGCAGAAGCCCTACTCCCAGAACCCTCTTTGAAAGAGGTTAGGAAAGCCTTCTCTGCAGTGGCACCCCAACTGTGGAATATGCTCCCCATAGAGGTTCACCTGGCATCAACGTTATATTCTTTTTGACACCAGGCAAAAACCTTTTTATTGGCCCATTATTTTAATATTTAATCATTTTAATTAGGTTTTAACATTGTCTTGCTCAATATTGTACCTTGTTGTGACTTTATTGTTGAAAGCCATCCTGGGATGTCTTGTAAAGGATGGGGTACAAATATTGATAATAAATAAATAAAGAGGGAGCTCAGGTTGTTTTCTACCTGGAATGTCTGAAAAGCAGAAGATAAAAAGCCTTCTCTATCGCAGTGCTAGTCTTTAGTCTCCTCAATGCAGTACAACAGGCACCAACGTTGTTTTGGGGACTACTTAAAAGCCCACTGTTTAACTGGGCATTTTGAAAGTACAAAAGCTAAGGTGTTCCATAAAGGGTCAAACTAGCAATAATAAATGTGTCTTAACCAATCACATCAGCGCTTCTCATAGCAGGTGCAGAAGGACAATTTGAATTAGTACTGTGGTGGGAGAGAAAAGAGTGAAACCTCTCTTCCCCCTTTGCGGTGTTTCCAAAGAAGATCAGGCCTTCCTGCACCTCATAATGGATTACCTTTGAAGTCTTCATGTGATGCTTAGGACATGTTTAGTGGTACAGGAAGTGCTCAGTGAGAGCTAGAGAACTTTGGGGCCTTCAGATGATGATGTATGATTCCCATCATCCCCACCACTGACCAGGCTAGCTGAGGCTGATAGAGAATTGGATTCCAATATATGGGCAGCCTCAGCCTCCTCAGCCCTGCCTTAAATGAAAGAAAACTGAGCACTCATGTTCATGGATGGGTTCATTGGTTTAACACTTCTCAGACAACCTAGCTAAAACACCCTACACACTGCAGCCTTATGTAGCGGAATGTCACTATAGCACATTTAAAGCTACACTCTCCAGTTATAAAACTGCACAAAGCACAGGAACCAAGACTAGCAAGATACATAAACTCTGCAGGAATACGATGTTAATTAACTCAAGTATAAAGACAATTAAAGAGTGAAAAACAGTTGCTGAATACCCAAAGGAAAACAAAGTACAAATGCTGATAAGAGCATACTTTAAGGAGCAATAACAAAGAATTGAAAAATAAGCGCAAAGTACCTTTCAAATGTAACTCTTATTGCATTCATGGTTTGGTAATTTTTCATTCAACTGTTTGCATTCTGTTTTGTTTACACTTTCTATTGCACTTCATCTTGTATTCTGTATGAGCTAATTAACATCATATTCCTTCAGAGTTTATGTATCCCACCATTCCTGGTTTCTGTGCTTTATGCCCTTTTGTACAGTCTCCAGATATCACTTTGTATCCATTTTGGTAGGACTTCTCCTACCAATTCACTGAGAAGGGTGAAGTACTAGACCAAGCACAAAGATGATATAGCCCAGCTTTCTCCAACCTGGTATCCTCTGGACGTTCTGGACAAGTCCTATCAACTTACATGGCCAATAGTCAGCAATGCTAGAGGTTGTAATCCAAAATTTCTGGAGGTTAGGAAAGGCTGGTACAGCATATATCTTTTGGTTGATGGCCAAGCCGGTTAAAGAGGGAATTCAATCTCAGTAGTGGACTCAGAGCTCAGCTAAAGGCTGTAAGGGCAACTAAATCCTTTCAGTGGAGACATGCACCTGGCAAGTCCCAACAAAGGAAAAACTGAATATTCCAAATTTGGAACAGCATTCCATTTCTTTCACATCTACCCGATTTCAGCCAGCGTCATGAGCCATTCACCCATCCCTACAGAATTACATGGTAGAACTCTATCAATTTAATATGTAGATTAATGAGCAACCAGGAACCACTAGGTCTATGTTTTATGGAAGAACTGTCTTTGTGGACAGAAATTTGTACAGCAAATCAGGAAATGAGTCTAGCCTTTTAAGTGCTTAATATTTGAATTCCCTTTTCTGTCTAGCACAGGGATGATGTAACAAATTGCATTTTTACTAAGAACTTGTGCAACAAGAAAGAAAGAATGAAAGAAAAGACAAAAGAAAGGACGAGAGAGAGAGAGAAGAGAAGAGATTAATTTACTGGGAGAATGGTACGGGGAAATTCAGAGAAGTATCAAACCACCAGATTTTCAAAGTATGCCTACAATTTACAAACATAAAAAATGGACAAAGAATTAACAGAAATATAGTAGTAATAGTAAGCTATTTTAAAATACTGCACATGAACACATATATAATTAAATGATCCATAATGATCAGGGGGTTTAATTAACAGTTCAGGGCATTCATACAATATTTTCCATTAGTCCGTTTGCAGATCTTTGAGATACAAAGTACATCATTAAGGGGAAAAAAAATCTTACCTAAAGTTTATGCCAGCTCTCAAGACTGAATAGCAGCTGCCACATTATAACCATGGCACTCCTGCTTTTTTAGAAAACCAAACTCTTCAAATATCTTCAGCTATGTTACATTTGATTTTAGGTTATGCTTATTTGTCATTCATTTGGCAGCTATGTTTTGCAACCATTTAAAGGCATGACAGACAGAAATGATAGGGAAGACCTCAGAATAAGAGGGTATTTACCCCTAAATCAACATGGGTTTGATTTCTTTACAAGTCCTTCGTTCTCATCCTCAATATTAGTTTCCCACTTATTTGACTTTTTGTTTCTTCCTTGCTTGGAATTGTTCAGTTTTATTCTTGACAGATTTGATCAGCATTGACAATGCAGGATCAATGGGTTTCTTGGCAGCAGACTGCCTCTCTGCCATGTTGTCCTGTCCCCCAGTTGCTCCAGTCAACCCCTGCTGTCTTCGGCGAGCTTTCTCCTCTAAAATCTTTTCCGTCGCTTTTGTTTTCTTGAAGTTTGGATCTGAAGGATCCAAATTAAACAGATGGGAAGTATACATGGCCTGGAATCTGGTATCAGCAACATTTACCTGGAAACAGCAAGAAAGGATGCTTTATTTGCAGCAAAAAATGCAGGACAGTGAATATGAAAACAAAGTAATACGTAACTAGCCAGAGCTGGAGAATCCCAGGAGAGACCCACCCAGTCTCCCTGGCAGCCCAGCTATTAGCAGTGCTTCTATAGCCATTCAAATCTGGGTTGTGGGGCTAGTTGCAGGGAGAGGCTTAATCACCGACTTGTTTAGCAACCCTGAAGCAGCTGTGAGTACTGCTTCAATGGACATGTGCATGCAATTGTGTGTTCAGGCATGACCCTCCACCCAGCAGTGAATGTAGCTAAAAAGACTGCCCACTCTGATTAACACAGTGAAAATGGGTAACAAGAAGATTGTATTTCTCATTTACCATCATTTACAAAAGGCAGTAAGCTTGTTTCACTTGCTAAACAGTGCTTGTCTAATTCATGCACACTGAAAATTATACTTGTGCTTTACTTTGTTTATCATGATAGATATTTTTTCTTCTGCGTGAAGATTGTAACAAAGAAGAGAAAATGTGTAATGTGGACCAGCCTTGTGTCACACACCAAAGGGCAGCAGTACAATTTCCCTTGCACTTAGGGACAAACAGTTTGCAAAGTTGTACCCCACATGTAAACGTTACCCGTGTTTCTGTGCCCTCTCCTAGAAGAATGTTTAGATCCAGAGTTCCCCTTCTATGCATGCATAAGGAGGAGCTATTCCTACTAACTCCCCACTCCCTCTGTACCCCATATCCCATTTCATCTTCAAAGGTTCCCAAATCCAAGAGCAAGGACGAAAGAAAAGCCCCATTCTATGAACTCTGCTCTCTTTAAGAGCCAAGCAGAATGGCATATTTCCCTCATTTCCTATATTCTCTGTGCCTCTTCTTTCTAGCCACACAGAAACCACTTACCACTGTGTCAAGCAGCAGGTACTGATGAGGAGTGCATATGCATGCACGTGTATGCATAATTCCCTAATTTCTATAGTCCTTGCATTCCTTTTGTATTGTAGAAAGCCCTGGGGATTCATCAACCAGTGGGAAGCACATCTGCAGGCCAGCTGATTCACTTGCATGTCATATTCCTGATGGCAAACACGTGGCCAATCCTAAATCTAGTTGTTGGCAACTGGTAGCTCTGTTGTTGGACTGCAACTCCTCACCAGCATTGCCAGTGGGAGCTTATACCTGCCTAAATGTGTGGAGGAAATATTCCTCAGGAAATGCTCCTCTCAGTCTGTCAACAGAGAAGCCAAGGTGAGTCTTGCAGTAAAGCAGGAGTACAGACTCTCAGGTCTGGGGGCGCAAAATCAGTCCTCCAAGTGCCCCAAAGGGCTATGCCACTTTCCCCTGCCCTGACTTCCTTTCCTTCAATCACTGATTGTGTGTTGGTTTCCTGATGTTTTGCAGTTTGTTTCTCTCCTAAAAAGCCAAATTAGCTTAGTTGTTGACAGCAAGACCTTTAAGATAAGTATGCTGTTATTTTTGGTTTTTAAACTACACCATCTGTTGCCTTGCCCACCACTGGTATGCAGCCCCCAAGAGCTTATATGAAATGAAATTTGGCCTTCAAACTGAAAGAAGTTCTGCACCCCTGTTGTAAAGAAACCATGTTTGCTGCAAGGAAATAAGCAAGGCATCACCCATACAGCGGACACATGAAAGGGTAGACATAATGAGTGGCAGAAGGAGCACCTGCATGCTAAGGACTGTGTGGGTGACCAGTGGGTACCAATCAGAATCCAAAGAGGAGATAGATTTCAAGCTTGGCTATGCCTTCCCCAACTCAAAACTTGCCGTTTATTCATCAAATATGATTCTTATGGGCAGTGGCTCTTGCCAGGCCAAAGACTGGACAAAAATTGAAACAGCTGATAATATGCTGTCCACTTAGACAGGCCCAGGCAGCCCTGCACCTGCGTCATGCACAGTGTTGCATACACCTTGAAAGCAGGCGCAAGGGAGGTTTATCTAAGCTGCCTTCATATTACAGTATAAGCCAACACTCATAATCTACAAAGAAAAAAATTTTCCCTTCATTTGGAAAAGGAAGCATTATCTGAGCCTGAAGTAATCACAGTTATCCAAAAAACAGATCAGCCCATACTACAACAAACAAATTAATCCCATACAAAATGAGATGCAAACCTTTTCCAATTTCTAGTGTAAAATTCATGGTTTGGAACTGAATTCTTCAACAGTCTCTTCAGAAAGAATGGTAAAGATGTATGTTCATGTAAATTATAATGTAGTTATTGATCTAATGTAACACAAACTGACCATCATTTTATTATGTTTTAGAAACAGGAAGCCCATAGAGTTACCTGGAAGTCATCTGTCAGCAGTTCCTTCTTTTTCATTAATAGCTTTTTTTTCTTTTTGCTCAGGTTCTGCTGCTCCACTATCTTCTCATAATTGAAGTGTCTTTTTTCATCCTCCTCCTCATCCATCACCAGCAGAGCCATTTCAGCCTGTTACAATCAGAACAGATAGGATCTGTTTGCGCAACATTTCACAGAATATGGGCTACAGATGTTTCTGTGCCTCATCTGAAGACAGAGTCGCTAATGCACAACAGGAACAGCTATAATTGCCTATCTGTTTACAAAACATTTTTATTGGTGAGGAGAACACTTTATATTAAAAACAAAGGCAATTAAGAAAATCACTCTCACTTCAAGGAGGCTAGAAGTATTCTTAGGCTGATCACTGTGATTCATTTGTTACACTTATATCCCATCCTTCCACTGAGAAGCTTAGTATGGCTTAGAAGGGGCTCCTAAAGCTGTTTCCCATCCAGACACTGAGCAAACTGAGAGTCTCAGCTTCAATAATGTGACATTATTCTGTGCCCCAGGAATAGGCAATTCTCTGAGAAATATTAGATAATACAAGTACATCCTTAAGCATACAAGCCCTGCACGTGATAGAGAGCCATGGGTTCACACACAAACATATGTGGAATAGTATATGCCTCCCAGATGGAGCATTTGTCCTGGGTGACAGTATACACATGGTGGCAGATTCATGCCCAAGTGCCTTAGGTGCACTGTCTACCTATGGGGCAGTTTGAACCAGCTCAGGATATACTCAGGGAAGATGGGTTTATGGCACAGCAGAACCAAGGCCATGCTGCACCAAATACAATTATACGTTTCAAGTATTTGTCTATTTTCCATTTTATGTTAGCATAACTTTATTTTGTCAGCCTATCATTAGGTCTAATTAATTCTCAAGGTCATAAAAAGGAAGACCTTCTTTTAAAGAATGCAAAAATAGCACACATCAAAGACTGAATGTCCACAGATCAAGTAGCCCTTTGCTCAAAGTAGATCAAACCTGCACATCAAAAGGATTTTCAATTGAGTTTTTGAACTCTGTGTTAAAAAGGAAATAATACAAAGATCTCAGAATGCAACTCTGAGTTGAACTGGCCCTTTTTATGCTTTTAGCACAAGGCGAGCAAAGGAGTTTTATCTTACAGAGCATAAAAAGTTGACTAGCACTGCTGTAAAATTGTGGTAACAAGCACAAAAGATAAAATACACATTTTAAATACATAAATATATGTGCAGCTGCAGTATTTCATGAGGCCTATCTGCTATGTACACAAGAGCAACGATCCTGAGCACAGCTGACCATTCATAAGAAAACTGCATGCATTTTAAGCAAGGCACTATACAGCCATCTCTTCCATGTGCTCAATGTGGTAAACAGGTCTACATCCTATGCATATAAATGAAAGGCCTACAATATTTCTTATTTATTGCCCAGGTACAGCTGGGGCTCAGGGAGACAGAGATGCACATCATTTGCTACATTTATGCCAAATGCATGGACTTGGGGTGAAGATCATGGCAGGAAGTGCAAGTGAGCAACCGTTTACTCCCTCTGAATTCATTTGACACAGTTTGCCAAAGGTATGAATACATCTTGAAATAAGCAGAACCTGATTAAGATTAACTATGTATGGTCACATGGGCAACTTGTTCCTTTTGATAAAATCTGTTTTGCAAAAGTGCCAAGAAAGCTTAATGAGCCTCTACTCATTTTTAGTGCTAGTACTCAAGTCACTCTAAACACTGAAGCCAGGGGTGGAGTTTATCAAATGATCACAGACAAAGTATCAAAGGACAACCAAATGTGCATGCTGCCTAGATATGAAGACAAGAGAGCATGGTATACTGACAGAGTCTAGCTGGCTTTTAACTGTTGGTTTAAACATTACAGCCAACATGTGGAAACAGCTAAAAAGCAATTGCATGTAGCAGGCATAATATTTCAAAGCTGTCACATCTCTGCATCATCCCAAACATATGCAGCATCTCCAGATCAGCAACACGCCATGTGGAGTGTCTTTATGGGGAAGCCCTTTCCAGTGGCCTCTGAACAGAGCCTGTTAAGTTTAAATCTATTCAGACTGTTTGGCGGAATCCTTGGAATATGTTGCAAGCGCTGACATGTCAGAGTCGTGAAGGAGGGAGGCTGAGGAGTTTTCTCAAAAGGTTATTCAGATGTAGTCCAACTCATTCTTGTTGGCAAGACTTGCCCATATTGCATGCTGCAAGGACATCATGACACAGACTGAGGCTACACCAGATCTGTATAGCAAGGCCTTGGCTGAGGCACTACCTATCATTCTCCTTCCCACTGCCTTGAAGCAATGAGCTGATGCAAAGCTTTGGGGTGGGACAGGAATGATGAGGGGAAGATGGAGGGATGATATGGAAAATGCCAGCTCCATATAGCCGGTCAACTAAAGAGAACGCCATTGACATGGTGGGGCACATTGAGAAAATGCAGAAGTCCCTTCCTCTGCCCCGTGCTGCCAAGGATGAAATCCTCTAAGCAGGGAAGATACATTTTATGCCGGGACAAGGAGGTCAGATGCATAATCCAATCTGGTCAGCCAGGCCAAAACTTCTGTTACAGGCATCCTTTGGGAGAAAGCAGTGCTAACCATGCTGTGTTCTGATGATACGCTGTGTTGCTTTCCCTTACCTGCCTCCCCAAAGACCTGTGGATTAACAGCACTGGGCTTAGTACTGGAACTGGTTCGTGCCTTTGCAGCAATTTTCACTCACCATCTGAGCACAGATTTCTCAAGATGGCAGAAGACAACAGAGCTGCAACTCCTCTGCTAAGAAGTGCCAGCGGCTTTCCTCTTTGCTTTTCTTTTCATTTGCCCCTTCCTCTTTTGAGTAGGAAAAGTGGACGGCACATCAGGCATTTAGATAGAAATGTCTAACAGCTAAGCAAGGCCTTCAGCATAGCTAGCTCCCAGCATGACTGCTCACCATTTCAATGCCCCCACTTGCTAATAACCTTTCATAAATAGAAGAGCTTGCTGTACTTATCTGAAAGCAATTACATTTATTAATTTTAACCCACATTTTGTGAATAAAAATGAAAATGAATAAGTGATTTGTCAGGGAGCAGCTAATCCTTTAGCACTCTTGAAGCCAACACACATGCTGACCTCATTCACTGGCAGGACGGGAGAGTTCCAGCAACTTGCAAATGTCACTATTGAGCTTGCTAAAGGAAGACAGAAATGTAAGCCTCATTTTAGAAATGTCATTACTAAAAGAAATAATTTGAAGCTGGTTAGCCCCTGAAAAGTTGTCACACTCTAGTTTTATGAATAACCTAATTACTATTTGCAGAATGGAAACATGAACATTTAGTCTTCATGTTTAAGATAAGTATACCGAGCGCCATATGCACAGATTGGCTGCTTCATTCACCCCAGACTACTCACAAATAATGTTCCACAAACCCAACTGTGGGATTACATTGCTATGTCTAATCTTTAGTGCTCCTTGAACACTTTCTCTTCTACCTTATGCTTCTCTGTATCTCCTTCCTTTTCTTGAACATCTTCTTTCTTCTTCTTCTTCTTATCCAAATCTGTTCATAAGCACAAATAAATATAAGCACAATTATTGAAATATGCCAGATGATGATCTCAAGTAGACATAACAAAGTGTGCTCGCTTTCTGCTGCCACCATCTACACCTTCTGAAATGCCAGCCATAAAACAGTAAAGTGTAGTTGTAGAAAATGAGCAGCAAATCAAAACAACCATCTTCATAGGAAATGATTTAGCCAGAGTCTAGTTCAGTTATGAGCAAGTAGAGAGGTCAGGGAGGCCTTCTCCAGCTTTTTCTTCATGACAGTGCTGAGGGTCAGCAGAATAATTGTTGCTCTGTTCTTTCCCCAGGGAAAGCATGATAAAATGCACTGATCAACATGCCACTCCTAAACTGCTTTGATATGAAGCACTGTGCACGATGCTCCCGCCATGCATTATGCACAGCATATGTTTTTTTCCCCTCTTCTGCAGCAGCGGTCCCCTGGGGCCCCGCTGTATTGGCACCTCATCGAGGTATTGCTAGCAAAGAAAAACAGCATCTGCCCACACACACTCCCATGCGCATACCTGTGCACCCATGGAAGTATGCTTGTACTGTGGCGGATCCTAGCCATTGAATAACTAGTGCTTTTACATTTTAGACTGATTCAAAATACAGTGGAATTGTGTTCTCTTTCATTCCACTCAGCTTCCCATACCCCTCATCTGTATGACTAAACTATATATTGTAAAGTAGATACCACCCTTTGATTAAAAGGTAGGGTTATTGTTGAGGTTGAAGCAGGGGTAATGCAAGGAAGAGAAGAATGAATTGAGGATATTGGTTCATGTTATTTGTATTAAAATTAATAAAAGCCTGAAATACAAACAAAATACAGTGGAACTCAGAATTTCAGAGCTGGAGCACACAAAACCATGCTTCACAAACATTTCCCCAAGATTTAGTTATGTCCCTTAAGTATAGAACAGAATTCAGAGATGATAAGCAATTCTCCCTGTGTCCATTTTCACCAAAAGGGCTAGTCCATCTCCTTGAACCAGCAAGATGCCAGTCAAAAATGCTCATGACATAAATACACTTAATTTAGCCTCCCAAAATCCACAGAACAAAGTCAGATGGTTCCCCATTCAAATATCTGGTTCAAAGCTTATATCAGGGCAGACAAGGCAATGGCACCCAGGGAGTGGGCAACATGGAGTCCTGCCTTGGGCTTTCCAATATATATAAAACGACAGCAACGCAGTATTCTTCATACCATGCCCACTAATAAAACTGGCAGTTATGCCTTTCCAATGTGCAGAGAAAATATTCATCTCAGAACCTTCCTCAGTGGCTCAGAGAAAAGCTTGGGTCAGTACTTGGACTGACAACATGCTTTACTCTGGATTTGAGACAGAGTTTTCTGTTTTCCGAAGTATGATCCCCATTGTATAAAATGGGAGAAAATAGTAATTCAGTAAAATTTGAGAAAATAGCAGGGACCTCTCATGAAACAGCACTTGCCAATTTCAGACAAATAGGTTTAGGTACCTTTAAACTGAAGTTTTTTAGAAAACAAGTTTGATACCTATCCTTCCTTGTGGTATTGTGGGGACTTTTGCTTCAACATGTCAGAAAAACTATACTTGTGCCTAAGTTAAGTTCCCTGAAATTTTGTAGAAGGATGTGAACAGGGTTTAGGAAGCTATAACAACAGCTTGAGGCCTTAAAATGTTTTCCTTCTTTGCTCATTTAAACCATTTTTGATATGTTTGCTCTGCATTCAGAAAGCATTATGGTGGGAAGCAGAAGGAGAGATGTAGTAAACAAATTCCCTGATTGGAAGTTAGAGGTACCAGCAGAGAACTCCTCTTCTGCCTGGCTTTTCATGTTTCTAAATAGTTTGGAAAGGGTCACAGAAATGTAACAAATGAGTTAAGAAAAAGAGAGAGCAGCTTCAAAGCCCTTCCAAGAGTCTCAGGTGAATTTTCAGACTTGGAGTCATCCCCATTTACCTTGGGTTATGAGGTAGGCCAGGTATGGCCTTCATGAATTCATACCTCATCACAGCAGAATGCATAGCCCCAGATACCATATTGAACATAAAGAGCCAAACCACTGCTCCCCAAGCAAGTAAATAAACCTGTATTTTTTAGCTGATTCAAAATGGGCAGCAACCAAGAGGAAGAAGAGAAAGAATGCAGAGAAATAGCTTTGGAAGAATACAGTAGGACCTCCATATCTGTGGGGGGAGAGGTTCCAAGCCCCCCAGCGGATGCCTGAAACCACAGATAGTAGTGAACACAATTGGCCCTTCACACTTGCAAGCTCTGGGGCACAGGACCCCCGTGAAAGTGGAAAGACTGAAAATAACTTTAGGGACTCTGTTTGGGACACCATGCTCTTTGTCTTGGTCCTAGCCAGTGTCACTCATCTGTTTGGTCTCTCAGATACTTGCAGTTTTTTGCTAGAGATATTGGTAGTTTTTCTCTAGAAAGTAGGGGGTCCTACTGTATGAACACCAGCAATGACAAACTAGGAAAGAAAACTAGTAAAAGACAAATGGAGAACACATCTGAATGAAAGTGATGAACTGGCTCAGGAATTTTCTCATGGTGAAGCAATGAAAATGAAAGGAACTGAATAGATGAATTATGTATTGTATATGTCACACCACAAGCACAACATTCTGGAACAACTGTCAAACCAGAAACAAGACCATTCTTCTGCACTACAACACACATGCCAAGTGGATCTCTACTGAGCTGTAATGGGTTAGATCCTGAGAAGCAATGCTGGAACACAGTGGGTAGAAGGTAACTTTCGCACTCTCTTTCCTTCAGCAGCCCTGCAAAAAGCATTTCCCAGACCCTAAAAAGCAGTCAAAAATATTTGAAATAATTACTTGCAGCAAATGGTTTAAGTTTTTATTTCTAAATTCCAGATCCAAAGAGCATAATAATATCTAGGTTTCTAAAAGGTGCAAGGTATGATAAAGGCATACCATTTGGGGGGGGGGGGGGATATTTTGATGAAGCTATTTTTTGTGCTACACATACTCTGGAGAAGATCGTAACCATGATCCAGGTTCATATTTGTAAGAGATAAGAAGATATGTAAAATAATGTGCATAATATGCATTATGTAAAAGCTGCTTTGTTTGGCAAGCTGATATAACTCATTCTAAGCAACTGCTCCAACAAACTTGTTTTTCTATGAAAGCAGTAAAAATCATCCATGGCAGGGACATTTTGGAGCAAGCAAGCCACAATGTTGTTTGCATTTCCAGGAATCAAAAGAGAATAACAATCACATTCATCATCTTATAAAAACTGTTCAGGTATGATAAAAAGCAGAATATATTAAATGTACATAACAACGCCAATACTCATTCCCCTTCAGTTTGTATGAACTGTGTTTTATAGACCTATCAGCCCCAATTAATCTCAATTTGTTTTCCATCAGCAGCAGCCAGTAGGAAATATTCATTCTATCTTCTGGTGAAAAAATAAATTTACTACTGAAAAGTTAATAATCGAGCTTGGAACAGACAATGAAAAATTTTACAGCAGTTCCTTCGAGCACAGCTCAACTGTACCAATTCCCTCAAATTTTGCTTCCAAATGATTACTTTATCAAACCATAAAATGTACCTAAGCATTAAATGAAACCTTTCAACACTGTTGGAAAAAAATGTAAAATGTACTGCTTGACCTGCAATGATAACTGCATACTCAAAAGTTAATGGTCAATGTTGTAAAACCCAGTGGGTGTAAGTTGGGAGTAGTATCCCAAGTTGGGCTCGCAGTAGCAGAAATGTCTGATGATGCAATGGGAAGCAAGCACAAAGTAGTTCTTCTGGAAAGGGAGAAATCAGCTGAGCTGATAAGTAGGTCCACTGGCCCATCCTGTTCCGGAAGCAGCAATTTAATTACTTTCTGAAGTGAAGCAATAGATTCCCCTTGCACCAGCAGTCCATCCCATTAGCGCAACATGATTGTCACTGGTTGACTGCCAGCTTTAGATACTGTCCTCTGGGTTTTAGAATATATAAAACCAAAAGGATTACAACTGTCTTAAAGTTGCAGAAAGTCTAAATTAGCTGCTTGGCATCTCTGATTACCTAGGAGGACTCCAACTTGTTTTAAACCAGCAAGCCATTCCCTAGCACAACAAACTGCTTTAGAAATCTGTGGGCATTTCCAAAATTGACTCAGGTTTCATGCTAGATTACTTAGCATAGCAGACCATGCACTGCAGAATGGGTTAGAAAAATCTTAAATATGTAAAATCAGTAGGATCATGAACTTTGTGAAACCATATATTGCCCTTGGGAAGAAATGACCGGTTGAGTAACATCAGGACACTTCACATTATGAAAAAGGCAAAAAGCTGATTCTGCAGAACAAGTGATCAGCTCCAAAATCTTGTAAGCCACTGGAAAAACTGCCTCAACCTACCAACAGAACAATGAAACAGGTTCAAAGAGAGCTTTTGGTCAGTACCTATATTACTAGGTGCAGCTCCCAGTGGGGAAACCTTTGGATGTGAAACCTTTGAACCTTAGAGCGGCCAGGCTGCTGACGGGGACTGGGCGTTATGTTCACATGACTCCAGTTCTCCGTCAGCTTCACTGGCTTCCCATTGAAGTCCGGGCCCAATTCAAGGTGTTGGTGATGACCTATAAAGCCCTAAACGGCTTGGGTCCTGGTTACCTGAAGGAACGCTTACGTCCATATATGCCAGCCCGCCCCCTGAGATCGGCAGGAGAGGCCCTTCTCCGGGAGCCCTCCGTGGAAGAAGTTAGGAGGGTGGTTACTCGGAGGAGGGCTTTCTCAGCGGTGGCGCCTAAGTTATGGAATGTGCTCCCCAGAGAGGTCCGCCTGGCGCCGTCGTTATTTGTTTTTCGGCGCCAGGCGAAGACCTTTTTATTTAAGCAGTATTTTAAATGTTAATATTATTGAATTTTATTTGGCCAGGGCAGCTTGTTTTATATTGTATGTTTTATATTATATATTTGTATTTTACTGTATATATTTTAAAATGTTATTTTAATTTTTTGTTGTAAGCCACCCCGAGGCTTCGGCGAATGGGGCGGCATAAAAATGTTTTTAATAAATAAATAAATAAATAAATAAATAAATAAATAAATAAATAAATAAATAAATGTGTCGTGCATGAAGCCCCGACAGAAACTCATGAGGAGACCTTGCACTTGACACCCAGTACCCAAGAGTCGACTCCGCAACCCAACGCAGGGACGGCTGAGCCAGCTACGGCGTCTTCCTCTGAGCCCCGGCACGTTGAGCAAACGGCTGGACCTTTATCAGAGACAGAGAGCCATGAGAAAGAGGAAGCTGCAAGTTCTGCTCAGAAGGAGGCAGAGCAAACTGCCTCTTCCCCCTCTGATGCTGATCTCCCTGAGCCAGAAACAGAAGACACAATAGGTGTCGTGGATTTTTCAAGAGCCCAGAACAGACGTATTTTACGCAGATTTGAACAGCTGCAAAGTAGACTGCGTAAGAGGGAGGAAAGGCGTGACTTGGGAGAATGTTCCCACGTGGGCTTCGGAAGAGGAGCCATTAGAGAGTTAACATCTGCTTAGCAAGGACCGCTATTAGGGAACTTATCTATAGAGTTGTAAATCTTGTAGACAATTAGCATTAAAGGACTTTGGTTTTATTGCTCCAGAATGTGTGGATTGTTTACATACTGGGCTGCACCCCACGACAGGATGACAGGAAGGGCCAGCAACATGGCCATCCTAGTTAAGCACCTAACATGAAAGTGGGTACCTTGGGGAACTCCTTACACTGCCAGTGGGATGAAGCCCCATCCCCTGCCTGAGGTGCTTGTTAAAGCTAATCTGGAAATAGCTCGACAATAGCAGGTCACATGTGGTTGGTTTTCTCCCAGCATAGACTGCAGTCTTCCAGAGCCCCAGATTTTGGCTATTCAACCAATAGGTTTCTTTTTTAAAAAATAAGGATAGGAAAAAGCTGGGTTTTCAAAATGAGGAGTAGAGTAAGTGAACAGAACAAGTTATAGAATAAAGAGATATTCACTTCTGAACTGGTGAGTCTGATGATCTAGCATTCCTCTGATTTGGTATTGTACTCTGCTTTTTATTGATATTTTATACACACTCCCACACAAAACCCCATATGCTCCCTGCCAAATGCAGTCAAATAAAATAGAAATCAAAATCCCATATTCCACGTCTTAGTAGGACACATGCAATTATGAAATCAGCTAAAGTATGATCAAATCAAGAATGAAACTCATACTACAAAACTTAATAAGCTTAGTACTATCATGGAATACATCTCATCTTAAGTATTTAACAAAGGAAAAATCGCTAATAGAATTTGGACAAGATTCTCATCCTTAGTTCATTAGCTGCTCAGGAAGGTTCAGGAACCCCTCTCCAAACCCTTGATTAATGCTTTAATTTCCTAAAGATAACATTAGATTGGACAAGGCACATGCCCTTCCCAAATCCCTTCCAACCTGCATTCTTTCAGACTAATACTATTGCTCATTTTTGGTTGCCATCCGCACTGCCAGATCACCACTGCACAAGTGGTGAGGATAATATGTGCAACAAAATCAGCAAGGCACAGAAGAATCAACAAGGGAGTAAGTGCCGCATTGTACCTGCACAGAAGAATGCATACCTCTCCATCATATCCCCAGTAAGAACCAATGGCATTCCCCTCCCTACTGGCAAATTACGGTTGCTTAACCTTCCTGCTCCTCCTATAATGGAAACATTCTTTGTCAAACGTTTTTCTGGGCACCCACTCCAGCAGGCTATGTTACAGACGACCAGATTGCTTGTACTGTTTGTCTTCTCTCTTTTATTTTCTTTTGTTTGCACACCTGTTCCACCAGAGGTCGAGAGAGCTGGAGGGCTCAGCAAGCTGGGCAAAGCTGCCAGTTTATTCAGGATGGCATATATGGCCATGGTTTATTGCAGGGGTTACCTGGGTGTGTGTATCATCCAAAGCCAGATGAGACAGCAAACCCTAACATATTCCAAACCACTACGGAGCTGCTTGGAAAGAGCAGCAAGAAGTCCTGGATGCACTACCCAACTGGCTGTTGGGCCAATACCTCAGGCAGCTGTCCCTGAAGTACCCAAGTGGCACTTAGGGGGAGCTTTCAGAGGCTTTCAACCTGTCCCACACCACCAGTACTCAGACAGTGGCAGCATGAGGCAAGAGGATTCATGTACAGCATGGTTTTGGCTACATTGCCAGACTGGGCAAGGGAACCCCCTGCTTGGTTTACCCTAAAAAGCTCCAACACTATTCTATTTTCAACCACATAGAGAGAACTTCTTTTTAGTCCCAATGCACATTACTTTGCACTCACACTGAATTCCTTCTTTCTTTCCATTGTCCCGTCATTAGCTTTAGACTATAAGTGCTGTTTGGAATTGATTCACATTCTGTCTCAGATTTTACCAACTTGGTTTATTTTGTATATCCAGCAAATTTCTTCTCCCACTCCCAGCACTTCTAGATGATTTGTGTACAATATAATTGTGCCAATTGCTGGGGGAACACAAAGTACTATGCTGCATAGCAAAACTGTCCCTTTATTCCGACCCTCCACTTCCTATCTCTAACAAGTAAATAGTTGTTAAAATGGTCTATCTTCATAAAGGATGCAGTTTCCTTAGGGGCCTTTATCACAAGTTCTTTGAAAATCTACTACGCAGAACAGCAAAAAAGTCATCTAACCTGCTTTCTCAAGTTCCTCAGCAAAGTATGGATCATTTAAATCAACATCAGATGGGCATTCATCTTCAGTCGGTATTTCCTCAGCAGCATCCTGAAACAAAACACATTGCATTTCCATTACTAAACACTAGTAATGTGTTAGTAATGCAAATAAATATCACAGAAAGCACAAAGCTGCCAAATACAAATTTCAAGCAGTAACCTCAGGGCACAGACTTGTAGCACAGGAAGAAAGTGATTTAAAACAACTGCTTTCACTGAAATCTACAAAGTTATAGGACATATCAATATGGGTTTTATGAACAATTCCATGTGCCACCACACATAAACATACACATCTTGACATTGTATCAACCTCTGGACAGCTGATAATAGTGTAACATCTCCAACCTCCCCCTATTAATATGAAATGAAGTGCCTGATCCTGCCTAATCTTGGAAGCTAAACAGAGTGAAAATCTGGATGGGTGACTTGACTCCTGTACTGAGGTGGTTGTATCCAGCGGCCTGCTAGGAGTCTTCCAACTGTATGATTCTAGGATAACACTACAATAACACTAAAGCAATGGTTTCTAACAGCAAAATCCACCCAAGCCATCCAGACCAGTGAGAATACAATTCACATAGTCCAACCAGCATGACCATGTATCAGACTCCAACATGTTTGGAGGGCAACCACAGTCTGAAAAAAACTAATTACACTACCTGATGGTAGCTTATATAGCCATCATTACTTATAGATTTTGTTCTTTTACAGTTGACAAAGCATACAAATCTTGTATAGAAGACATTTGCCTGGTTTGCACCTTTTTCTTAAAACTGGAAATATTCTTGATACAAATTGGTCTCATCTATACACCTTGGTGCTTCTCCTATTCACTTTCAGACTTTGAAAGTTCTGAAAAGTTTTGGAACGTTTTCATAGGGAAATGTGTGATAAAAATACCTCATCAGAGTGAATGTTTTGGAATTGTCTCCTTTGTAGAACACTGGACCAGATTCTGATCAGAGATTCTGATCATTTTTGGGGCAAAATGCTTAAGTTGGATATACATAATCAAAGATATAGCTTTCAATAAAGTCATTTCAGCTTCCCAGGAAAGAGCAAGTGACATATTTTATCAATGTTGACTAACAAGTTGCTAACTGCATGATTTAAAGGAAGCAAAAAGCTATGCATGCTTGGCAGGCTATGCTTGACAGGTGTGGGTTATCAGAAAAACATGATAACCCACATACAAGGATGAATTCTGGGATATGTGAGGGTTGTTGTTGAAATATGAGTTATGGTATTGTCTGGACCCAGCTGTGCCAGCTGAAAACTAATTGTGGTTTCTTAAGCTGAACAACCCACAGTTTACAACCAAACCATGATTTTTTTTCATGGGTTGTTCACAGTTAACAAGCCATGGTTCATTAAGTGAGGCTAGGTTCAAACAACATGATAATACACAGTTCAACAACAGCCCATTGTTTACCAACTTGCACTCAACCCATGTTCAACGCTTCAGTGTGGATTATTCTGTTGTCTGTACCTAATCTAAGCCTCTTAAATAAAAAATCCTATCAGGTTGCCACCCACCAGATGGCAAATCTCTCGTCTTAGGGTTCAGACATTTTTATGCACTGCCAAGCTGCTGCCAGCAGGTCAGGAGGAGTCAGTAGGCAGAGGTAATTTTCACTGTCCTCTCCTCCTTTCTTTTTCCTCTAGATGGGCCGGGGCAGAGCTGTAGAAGCTACAAAGGTGTGTTTAAGAAATCAAAGTAAAATGATGATTATGATGATGACAATGAGACACTGAATACATTAAAATTCCTGGCTACGAGCCTAGTGGCAACTCTGCAGTCTTGAAGCATACCGAGACCTTGATCAAAGAAGTTCTTGTATTATGACTTGGGAAAAGCCGAAACACAAAACACACCAGGCTCTTTCACTGTCCTCAGGAATGAATTGGACAGGGATTGGACAAGCTCCTGGGAGCATAGGATGAACTCCCTGCTTATATGAAACTATAAAAGGTGATGCGAGAAGAAAGAGAACAAGACTGGTGTTTTTTACTTCAGAATGGGCTGTTGAAGCCTGCAGGTCTACACAACTGTGAAGGGAAGATATCTTTACCAACTGAATCCAGCCTATTGAATTTTAGGAAAAGCAACTATTTGCTTGTTTTGGAAGATCTTTTATGCTTCTAGAATATGGGAGGGGATGCTCAGATATTTAATACTTTTTCCCAGCTAATGTAAATGGAGGTAGTGAATTATATATTAAGTATGGTTTTTCTACAGAAGAGCTTATCAGACTGCCATGAACTCTTGCTTATAAATTAAGGCCAATAAATAAAGAAATAAATAAATATCTTGTTTCAAGGTGATTCCTGGATTTTCCCCTTCAACTCCTTTTAAGTTCTGGGGGCCATTAATACATTTACTGTATATATTATATACTACAATCTGTAACACTGGCTATGTCCTTGTCTTCTACCCTACTCAACACGTTATCAATACACAGTTGCCCAGGAGAAGACAGAAAACCAAAATGCTTGCAAGAATTTAGATACTGTCAACCTTTCCTATGGAGTTCCCATTCATTAGTAACATGTCCAGGATAAGTAACCGTTACTCTTTAACATAAGGAGCCCAACCCTACACTTCAGATCAGAAGAAACACTAACAGTACCACTCTTGGCCTTAATGGTAAAAGTTTTCTTGGAGAGTTGCTGGAAACATGCAGTCTATGAAATACATGCCATAACCATGTATGTGGAGAATGAAACATACCAGTACAGTGGCTACTGCACACCCCCACCCGAGCCTGCATTTGGTTTAAACTTAAACTTCTTCTTAGGACCAGCCTAATGCTGAGTGTTATGATCTAAAACATCTGAAGGGCACCAGGCCAGGGAAGCCTGGACAGTTGTACCAAGTTTGGGAAACTCAGGCTGGAATCTACCCTTCATCTTAAAATTCACTGAGTGGCTTCCAACAAGCCACCATTTCCTAGCCTGACCTACTTACTAGTTAGGATGAAGATAGAAGGATGCAGCCCCATATGTAGGGCTATGAACTTTACAGAATGACATATTATGAAAATGATGCAAATTAATCATCATCTAGGATAAAATCTAAGGAAGGAAGATTAAAACAGGAGTCATTTCATAATCAAAGAACTTGTGGGCATGAAATCTCTAATAATAACTGCTTACAAATAATGCATTTTGAAAAAGATCCAGCAAACAAAATGGCCTAATAAGATTTATCCATCTGATTATACTAGATTAATGTTTCCAGAATAAAGTGTACTTTGAAGTTCACTTGTCTGTTTTACAAAGTTCTTTTGCTGGCACTTTCTGAAATAATGGACATCCATATGCAGCCAATGCATGTGAATGGTAGGAGGCTAGACTTAAAATACCACTAACAATAAAAAAAAGTCTGGCACCTCTATTGTCCATTTTACAGAAGAAAAATGAAGAAAGCCAATCATGGTGACACTGTCATCAGCTTTCCAAAAGAAGAAAAAAATATGTATTTCTCTGAAGACTTTTCCAAAGGGTGGGTTTTTTGTTTTTTGTTTTTGTTTTTCTTTTAAAGATATGCTTCTAAAATTCTTCAGGCAAAATTTGCTCACTACTTAAGACTTTGGACAAAGCTGTCACTCTTATCCAAGGCTTGGCAACTCAAACATGATGATTTTTAAACAAGAAGAATGATCATTCCTTTTAGCAATGCAGAACTTATCAAGGACACAGGATCAAAGCAAGGTTTTCTGGATAGCCCAAGACATGTATTTTCCCTTTAATCACACTTGTTTAACATTCATGTGGCTGCCAAAGGCAGATGAAAACTCCTCAGGCCTGTTATGACTTAGTGCTACTTTCTGATCAATCCTTGCCTACTCTCATGCTTTCTGTAAATGCAGTTTAATAATAAGATATACCAGAGGAAAATGCTTTCAGTCCAGGGAGTTCAGCTCCTCAGTGAGAAGATTAGTAAGGGTGGAAGATATTTCCACATCAACCTGTCTGTATTCTAACTTCATTACTGCTGAGTACCTCCCTCGTTGAGGTGATGTGATGGGCAAGGAGGAAAATAGCCTTCTTGGGAAAGGTACACTGCTTGCAGAATGCTCTTCGCAGACAGGTTCATATGATAGCCACATTATTGCTTTTTCTGCCATTTTTATACTGATATTTGTTATTACTGCTTTATAATGTTATTTTTGATACAGAATACTATAAGCCATCTTAGAATGCTTTTCTCCCTGAAGTGCAGTATACATGTTAGCAGCAGATAAATAATATACTCTAAAAATAGCCAGAGCCCACTCCTATGGGGTTTCACCCGCATGAAGTAAACCCTAACCTAGAACAAGTTCCACACTCATGTGTAACACAGTGGTGTTTTGTATACATGGCAGCTCCTTGGAGGATGAGTCAAGCTCAGAAAGGGCACTCTGAAAATACAAAAATGATGAAAGCAAACACAACCTTCTGTTTCTTCTTCAGCTTCCTCTTCTCTTTCTTCTTTTCTAGAAATTGTTCCCATGGAGTCAGTTTATCCTTCGCTTCTAACTTGTTTCTCACCATTTCATCAGCACTTTCTTTAAGTCCTGCAGCCAACCAGAAAATATATGTAACTAAGGTAGCTCTTAAATCATGTAATTTAAGCATACACACAAGCATGAAGCCACAGTGACAGGAACAAATCATGAAATACCACTGGTGAGAGACGAGACAAGTGCTTCCATCAAGGCCAGTTCTAGCTGGCTATGCTCAGAAACAACTAGGAACTTTCCTAGTCCTGACTCAGCTGCCAAAAACACAAAAGCTCCAGTTTCTCCCACCCCCATCCTGCCTCTTCAAACTTCCACAGACAATTTAAGAAGCCAATTTACCCATTAACAAGAATAAATGTATTCTGCTAAAATCTACATATCTTGCTACATTTCTAGTTTTTATGACCACAAAGAACAACCTGAAATGATTTGGAAATAGTTTGTGAAACATCAGAACTCACATGGCTCTAGTGATGGGTGTGCATGTAGATGTAAAAATTCTGCTTTAATTTAGGCAGGGAACTTATATTTGTACACTTTTTAAAAGAATATATGCCAGTTCCTTTGAAAAAAGATGCATTCATGTAATGTTTTATTTATTATTGGTTACACCTTTGTAGCTACTTTGGATACAAAAAGCACCTTATAAATTAGAAACAGAAGGCTACTGGTATAACAGGAAATCCAAGAATCAAAGCTTCAACAGTAATTCGATTACTTTAAAAAGGAAATAGACTACAGAATCTTGTTCCAGTAGACATTTCTGAAGTGGAAAAAAGTGTAAATTAGTCAAATTATATTTTTTCTTTTTGATTTATCAACTACTTTTTTACTAGCTTATTTAGCAGCTATAAGAATTAAAAGATAAAAAGAACACAAGGTTACTGTTCTCTATCCTATGTACTACCACAGAGTTGAAATCACCAGACCATAAACTTAAGTTTCTGTCTCCCTGGTACCCTTTTCAGCACTAGGAGGAATCTTCTAACTTAGCATTTCCAGACCTGTCAACTATTGGAAGAAGCTGGATATCATGTTAGATGCTTGGCTAAAAGAAACATCCTCTTGAACCACAGCAAATTACAAGTTCTCTAGGCCAAACAGGGAAAAGAACAGAATATGGTATTAGTGATGTGAAGACCTGTCTGAAATCTGGCTGTCTTGAGCCTGGCACACTTCTTTTCCACACTAGGTCTAGGAGGCAAGGTGAGCAAAGGTCAAGTCTGTGAACACACAGGAATGCTAGCAAGGCACTTGTTTGTACTGGATTTCAGACCCATTCTCCTGCAGAGTAATTAAACCAGCTTCACAGCACTTGCAGCACACGTGTACAGTCCCATATACAAAAGCAAAGCTGGACTCACTTCCTGTTGGACACCTACATGAACACTTAGTGTGAGTCAGACTTAGGACCAGAGCCTGGGGAGCTGGGTCCAAAGAATCCAACAAATTCCACTGTCAAACCAGATTCTTCACTTGCTGCACTATGTTACAACCTGATCCAACCCGCTCCAGTCACTATACACTGGAAAGTGTGGAGTTCTACATACACTGTGAGGGTGTTTTTGCCCAAACACCAGTGGCAGCCCAAGTACCTGTGGCATTCCTGAGTGTGCCCCTGCAAATCTGCTCCTGAGGCTTGCTAGAGTCTCCAAAATTGCATGCAACGTGGAAAATATAAATGTTCCAACTATGGTTTCCAATGGCCCTCCGAGGCAGGGCTACCAACTAACATGGCTAGGCATCAGATGTGAACAGGCATATACAGACATACGTACACAAAACTCCCTTTTATACTGGTTCTTCAGTAGCCAGACAGATTTGAATTTCTAAGACTTAGCATGAAAAGAAATACAAATTTTTAATTTAGTGGGATCCAATGTAATCACTACCTGCAAAAGATTAAACAATATGAGAGAGAGAGAGAGAGAGAGAGAGAGAGAGAGAGAGAGAGAGAGACTTCTTTACAAAAATTACAAAATCAGTTGCAATTTTTCTTCGTACAAGATCCAATTCCTGTAGAACTAAGAGGGTAAGCTTGAATAGGACAAGGATAGTGCCATATTGTTCTTTCTACCTGAGAAAATGTAGTACGGGCAGCCAGAAAGCACTGAGCAATATTTAATGGTGTAATTCAGCAAATTCAAATAATGCTGATACTAAATAATGCTAATTGAGCTGCACTGAATATTTAGGCAACTGGCTGTGCAAGTCAATTATTCAATTGCTTGTGCAGTTTTGTACAATGGGTCATACCAGCAGAATGCACAAACTGGCTGCACAGGCAGTTGCACAATGAGTTATGTGCAACCAGTACAACAGGTTGTACAAGAGTTATGCACAGCCAGCAGTTGGATTCCCCTCTTGCACTGAGTTTGAAACCCAGTTTTCATTGACGGATCATTTATGTTCATGAAAAGGACACTGCTTTTTCACCTAGGAGCAGATGGCTTCCTCCGTCTATGCCTTTAAACATCTTCATATTGAATGAGCTTGGTGGGAATAAGAACTCCACTAAGACCATGTAATAAAATATTATTACAAATTAAAATTTCTGGTAACAGTTAAAAAGTGGGGGTTGAAAAGCAGTTGAAAACTACTTTTATCTGCCTTCACACAATCCACTAGGCAGTGTAGTGCAACAGGACAGTTCTAACATAATTTCAATTTGTGGGGAATAAAGTAAAATAACTGGGTCACTAACAGGAAACTACAAAAATAAATATACTTTTGAAATACTATATACTGATAGCTGACCTGCAGAGTACTTTTAAAGAAGTACTGTTAGGTGTTGAAATATACACTTTCACAGTAGAGGGAGCCTTAAAAAACTGGAAGAGATTTCCAGATTTCTTATTCAGCTGCCTAGAAAATGAAATCAACTGCTCCATCTGGAAAAGTAGGACTTGGCCATAACACAGTCTTTTCATGAAGCCAGAAAGTGATTGAACTTCCGCCACGGATTGGATTGTCTTAGAAACTGCTGCCCAAACAATTTCCCCAGAATGAAAGTGATTGTCTAAGCAGTCACAATATACAAAGCTGAAGAAATAAAAGGAGCTGTATAGAGCGGAAAGGGCATATGCTTAGAAGCTGGAGGATGAGTATGGGCCTATTTGTTATTGTTGGTAGTCGGGAAGTCGTATCCGACCCAACGCGACCCCATGGACAACATTCCTCCAGGACTTCCCGTCCTCCACCATCCCCCGGAGTCCACTTAAGCTCACACCACTGCTTCAGTGACTCCATCTAGCCACCTCATTCTCTGCCACCCCCTTCTTCTTTTGCCATCTATTGTTCCCAGCATTAGGCTCTTCTCCAGGGAGTCCTTCCTTCTCAACAGGTGGCCAAAGTATTTGAGTTTCATCTTCAGGATCTGGCCTTCTAAGGAGCAGTCAGGGTTGATCTCCTCTAGGACTGACCGGTTTGATTGCCTTGCGGTCCAAGGGACTTGAAGGAGTCTCCTCCAGCACCACAATTCAAAGGCCTCAATCCTTTGGCGCTCAGCCTTTCTTATGGTCCAGCTTACACGGCCGTACATAGGCCTGACTATACGCACTTTTGTTGGCAGGGTGATGTCTCTGCTTTTTAGTATGTTGTCTAGATTTGCCATAGCTTTCCTCCCAAGGAGCAAGCATCTTTTAATTTCTTGGCTGCAGTCCCTGTCTGTGGTGAACTTGGAGCCCAAGAAAATAAAATCTGTCACTACCTCCATTTCTTCCCCATCTATTTGCCAGGAAGTGAGAGGACCGGATGCCATGATCTTAGTTTTCTTAATGTTGAGTTTCAAGCCAATTTTTGCACTCTCCTCCTTCACCCGCATCAAGAGGCTCTTTAGTTCCTCTTCACTTTCTGCCTATTTAACT